TACAAAACTGCCCTGTGGCTTACCGACGCGATGGGGAGGCGAGCCACAGGATGGAGTTTTTCCAATCTATTTTCATTGTGGAGCGGAACGACAACCAACTGCCGCGCAGACCGGTGTTCCTGCGCGCCGGCCGTCCCTTGCCCTTGTTGTTCGTCTGCGTCTTCTGTTCCATCTGGTCGCTCCTTTCTGCATGGATGCCGCACGGCCCCGCCTGCCGTTGCGCGAGCGCCTCGTTATTACCCAGACGGGCCGAACGGGTGAATATGTCGTCCTCACGCCATATCCAATCAATAGTGATTTATTTTTGCACGCCAGATGCCAGCCTTACATCATCCAAGAGAAAGGAAAGGGGTGGATGTGAGATAACGATAAAGGGAATCGCAATGGAAATGGGATGGAAACGCGACTGAGCTGGCGAACGTTTTACTGAAATAGGAAGGGGCAAACGTACCTACTGGTAGCCAAACCTTGGCTTGGCTGTTCATAAACGGTAAATGTTGCGGAGTCGGTCCGGCTAGGACGCCCGCACTCGACCGATTGGCTGCAGATTTGCATGCCGTTTTGGTTGAATGAGTAGTGACGGCAGTGCAGATTGACGACCGGGCTTACGGCCCTCCCGCCTGGACTTCCGCTACATTCCGGGGCTGCAGTCGGCGCCCGGCTCCGGCTCCGCCAGGCCGCGGCGGTGCAGTCTGCGCCCGCCTGGACTTCCGCTACATTCCGGAGATGCAGTCGGCGCCCGGCCCCGGCTCCGCCACGCCGCGGCGGTGCAGTCCGCGCCCGCCCGGACTTCCGCTGCATTACGGGGCTGCAATCGGCGCATGGCTCCGGCTCCGCCAGGCTGCGGCGGTGCAGTCTGCGTCCGCCTGGACTTCCTCTAGCGCGGACTTGCAGTCGGCTGTTCTTGTCATGCACTGCACTTTGGAGATGCAGTCCGCGCCATCCCATGTAGTACGCAGCGCAGCTGCGAGGGCGGGAGCGGCCCACGATGGATAGGGACACGACAGCGGGGGGGGGGGGGGGGGCGGAGGATTTCGTTGTGGGAGGGGGTCAGGACACGGCGTCGCGTGGTGTCAGCTCACGTACCGTGCAGTGCCCCTCGTGACTACAGCTAGGTATTCGGTTTGGTGTTGGTGGTCGAATGCTCGGGTAGGTATATTTCAGTATTGTGTTCATTAATTCAGATGCCTGAACGTGAACTGTCATATTACATATAAGCAGATAAACAGGTCAATGCTAGGCAGTCGTCCTCATGAATCTCAGGAAATTGTTCGCATAACACGTCTTTGGTCTTAACACAGAAATGTGTATGAACGGTTTCCATCGCGGTTTTTATCAAAGTTCGCTGTAGCATTGTGGTTCAGTTCATTCTCTGGCATACGGACCCGGTGTCGATGGCCGACGAGTCCCGTCCCGGTCGAGTCCCGTCCCGGTCGAGTCCCGTCCCGGTCGAGTCCCGTCCCGGTCGAGTCCCGTCGACCATAGAGGTCTCAAGGTGATCTGTTCATTAGATCCTTAACTATTGCTGTGCGTTCTTACGCTGTTTTGTTTTCATTGTGCTTTTTGCTGTTCGGAAAATTTGCCCGCAAATTTCGGTGTTTCAATATGCGCGGAATCTGAATATTTGTTAAAATATTCAGCTTCTCCGAATCGGGATGCTCAGCTCCGCTGCCGACACCGGCCAAGCCAGCGATGGGCAGCGCCGGAGCGTGGCCGGCGGGCACTCGTTATGCTGGCACTACAAATGCCTGAACATCTTGGGACGCGTCCAGTCTTCTGCTCCCGTCCGGCCGTCTTTGAGGCTTGAGTCAGGCGGCGGCTCTGTCACAACACGCGGCCGGCCGGCGTGGCCGCCTGCCAGGCCGCGGCGCCGCATTTCTCGCAGAGTGGCCCAGGATTAAGTACGGCCCCCAGCCGGCATCCTGCTACACCGAACCGCTTCTGGTCTGCATCAGCGAAGCCCCATTTTTCACTTCTCACATGCCGCGGGACGGGACATCACTCTCCCGCGCCATTCTTGTCTGAGCGAGGTTGAGCGGCTATTGTGCTGGGGTTGAGGGGAATGTGAGGCGGGAGAATGCCGGGCTCACATGGCGTTACCGGCAGCCGCGCCCTGCGGCTATTTAGGGGTCGGGTCAGAGAGTCAGCTGGTCGAAATCATTACCGCAGCCTCCTTCTGCAACTCTTCTATGACCTGACTTCAGCAACCTTTCTGTGCCGTTTGAAGGTCCGTTTATGCCGTTTGAAGGTTATGCTGTCGTAGGGCGCGATGCGAATTCTGCAATGGCTGCTGTTGCAACATCCAGAACCCACTGCTGAAACAGATAAGTGCTCAATGTGCTTTTAGTTGGTACGGAAGAGCGGCGGTGACCGCGGTTACCCCGCGCGCCCGCGCTGTCCAAAAGAGGAGGTGTGCGCTCGCTCCCCTCCGCCTCGGTGTGGGGTCGCGTCCCAGTGACATCACGCCACTGACAGCCGAGCTGGCCACTCGGCCGCAGAATGCCGGCTATGCTGGCGGCGTGAAGCGGGCGTCAGGGGTCGGCGTGCCGTCCCTGGCACCGCTCCGAAGCGCCGCTGTTGGCATCCGCTGTATGCTGCGTCACCCGCGGAACGGGGGAACTCCGCTCCCGTGCGCCGCTCCGGTCATTTGGGCCCCGGCCTCACATCACCGCACGAATATAGTGCTGAAGGCGAGAAGATGAAGATGTTTGAAGATGTTTGACGCTTCTGTACATCACCCCCCGCACTTTTCCGTAGTGTCGTCACCTGGTCCCCTCTATGGCCCAGGCATTCTATGCATTTCCGTGATAGATATCCATCTTTCTTCACTGCTAACGAAGGTGAGCCTATATTAAGTTCGTGATAACTCGCAATTTGAGTTCAATTACCCAAACCCCAGCGTGCACACTGCAGCGCACCCTCTAACCAGGCCCGTCACGACTGCCTTGTTAGGCAAAGCACGCCCTAAGCGCTGGACCCTCCCCGGCCGGTCGTGTGGACGCCTAATTTCTCCCTATCAGCACCCCAGCCATTTCACTTACCCCTAGCGTGTATTTACGCGCGCAGCGTCACGCGACGCGTCCGGCCGGCCAGCTGGCCGCCGCCCGGGCCGGGCCTGACGCGGCCGCCGGTGCTGACGGCGGTGTCACGCGTGCGTGAGACACGCCTCGGCCGCGGCCTGAGCGTGCGGCGACGGGCGGCGTGGCGCTGCAGGGAACTGGCCGCGGCCATTAGCTAGTTAACCGCCGTGGGGTGCAGAGCGTGCAGGCTGTGACCGACGCAGCCGGCCGCGTGCGGGTGCCGACGAGCGTTCGAGATGGCTGGCCGATGCTGAAGGAACAACTAGCGTTATCGCTTGTGTGTTAGCGCTAGCGGTGCTTGTGAGAAGTGGCCGAGAGAGCAATTTTAATATATAATGCTTTGTCGGGGACTGAAGGTGCCCCGCAACAGAAAACGCAACCAGTGCTCATCGCAGACACCGCCCTGGCTTGGATACAAGCTGTTTCCTGGAAAGCCTGTGCAACTTCCGCACTTTATTAAAACTGGTGTACTGTCGGACCACGAGGCGTTCGTGGTGCTCCGGAGACCCCGGGGCGATGTTCTGGCGAATTGTGGCGTTGACATGTCCCCATAATGTTGCGGAGAAAACCAACGTTCGATACAGCTGGGTACAGAGGGACGGATAGATGGGTGTAGAGAGAGCGGGTGCTGGATATAACAACGATGAACGGAGTGCAATCCCACTTCGAACACTCAAGTCCCACGATATGATCAAACGTTTCGTGCGAAACGCGCAGTCGAGCTCATTCAGTATCAGCCCGACCTGAAAGTAACCAAGATTAAAATGCGATGGTCCCGTGGGTCAGCTGCATTGCTCTAAATTGCATGTCCAAAAGGGCAATTTCCTTCAGGGCATGCCACGCTGTGAGGAAAACGAAAATAAATGGCCGCAACAATGGAATCTGTTCCGACATTCTTCCGTGAAACACATCGCAATGAACAGTTTTTTTCGGTTTTCTAGCTTCATCTTTGGAGACAAGTCGGTTGGTATTTGTTCCCAGCTTTTTTGTTCGAATGTGTTGGAAAGGCTGTGAAACATGGAGGAAGCTATCAACAGTCAGGATCTGGAAGGCTTAGAAGACATGCATTTAAAATGTTTGTATCGATTGGTTAATTACGAACATATTTTTGGATAGTGTGTATATGTATATATGTAAGTACGCACAGTGCGTCGTGCATGCTCCAATTTAGTGTGCAGCACGCATTCGCATGCGTGTTTTCCTCTTTGGACTAGCGCACGGACGTTCGGCGGTCGCGACGGCTTCAGTTCCGCACCATAGACTGTGTTTTGCTCTGACCATTTATGCGTTAAAGGAGCTGCAGCTCAAGACTTACCCAGCGGCTCGGAGCAAAGATTCGCTTCGTCTTTGCCCGCGCCTCGCTTTAAACAGCGAAATCTCTTTGCCTCCTGTTTACTAAAAAAAACACTGTTGCAATGACCTGACAATGTTTTTCACTGCGATCACAATGTTTATCTGCAAATGAGGTACGCACCTGCTTGGGCATCGGCCTCTTAAAACGCTACACAGCATGCCAGTTTGATCAGCGGTCATTATCAGACCTTCGATAGCACGATACTATCAACAGCCTCCAAGTCACGAAACAATGGACGGAGAATGGCAGTGATTTTATCCTCGAGCCAGACTGGAAAATATCGATATTTTTATTATCAAGCAATTTACCTGGCTGGCCAGAAGCGGAAAGTTGGGAAGGAAGTCGTGCCACCGTGCGAACCACATCGATCAGTGTCTGTCAGCGTGGTCAGCCCGAAAATATCTGGCCCTCCTGCACGGCACTCCTACCGACCGCCGCGAGGCATGCGTCATGACCCGGCTGCACTCCGAGGTCGCGACTGCCGCGTATTGCCGGCATGATTCCACCGTCTGACCTGCCCTGCTCTCCATTCCCTCCCTGCTGACGCGTGCCTCGCTCCGTTGCAGCCGGGGGCAACACGAAGACAGTGCTGGCGGGCTCGAACCTGACGCTCTCGTGTCCGCGTCATTCGGAGGCGGTCGGCCGAGCGACGGTGACCTGGCGGTGTCGCGGCTGTGGCGGCGGCGGCGGCGGCGGCGGCGGCGGCCGGGGCGCGCAGGAGCCGCTGACGGTGGCCCGCTACGGCCCGGACGGCACCATCAGCCGCTCCGAGGAGCGCGCCCGGCTCGTGCTGCCCACGTTCCAGCTGCAGATCTACCCAGTCCGCGCCGCCGACGCCGGCGTCTATGAGTGCACCGTCAACGATGCGCCTGCCACGCAGGCCGTCACCGTGGTCGTCGAAGGTGAGTGGCGGCGGCGGCGTGACCTCCAGGTGTGGCAGCATGGGGGGGGGGGTATGAAATGTGTCCGAGCGGTCGGCGGCCTGAACATCATGAGGGAAAATAGCCTCAGCAGTTTTAGTCATTGAGGCGATGGCTTACCATCGCCACTTGTTTGTGGCAGGAAGCTAGGGTAAGGGTAATAAGAGGTAGTCCACCTTCGGAATCATGTACATCATGTGAAGACTGGTTACAGTGTCTCTATGGTGATGCGGACGTGTTAAGATGATCGCTGAAAAGGTGTTTGCCATTGCGGAACAACTAGACAGAATGACACTATGTCCCACGTGCCAAGGGTGTTGACACCAGCCGCCAGCCATAAATTGTGTTTGTTGGCGTATACATTGTTACATCTAAAGTGCATGGGAATAAATACCTATTGTGATATGTAAAAAGCGCAGGTTGTATTAATCTTGCGCAATACGTGATTCACCTCCACGGGTATAAAAATGCCGGCTATCTGCCCCTTGAGGCATCTCGTGGCGTAACCGGTCACGTATAATATTGACATATCTCCACGAGAGGAATTGCCATTGGCTAACATACATGCGAACCCCGGCTTGTGAACTTGATGTGCATACCCAGCAGGAAGCTGGGGCGCGCGGGCGGCGATTCCAAGGCAGGCTAAGCAGCAAATCAGTCTGATGGCTCTGAGCGGCAGCAACCTGAATATCACATTCATGTAGCCGAGCCCGGACGGCTACATCGGACGGTGCGGAGCAGGGCATGCCTGCATGTAAAGTGATGCTTAAGACCTGCACAGGGATGTCAGTTCTGAGGCTCGAGGGGGTCCAGATAAACAGTTTCCCTAGTGTAATGGGCTGAAACCGCGCACCGCCTATATCGCCGGATGCAACGCGCGGAGTGGTGTCTGCATGGCACGGCTTCCTCATGGTGCTGATTTCAGCAGAAGGGAGTTTGAGTTTGTCGTTTCACTCACCGAATGTTCGCCGCCAAGGCTTTGTTCCTGACAGCCCCTATACTATACAGCTGAGAAGGTCAAATAGGCGATTTTCACTTCGCATCGCGTCGATTCTATGCTCGCCTGCGCGGTGGGCGGGGAGGGGGGCATTGATGAGTCACGTTTTGCCCCGATTCCGTGAAAACCTGCGTCTGGAACGCTGCGGCGGGTGTCGTGGCACGCCTGCGCCCTCCGCTTGCGCCACGAGCTCACATCTGGTGGTATGCGCACTTGTGCGCCCTTGTGGCGTTACCGCACTGAGTGTGGGCGATTTTGCGGCCAAAAAAGGTGACTCGTCTCACCTAGGTGTGGTGCACCGCAGCTTATGGGCATTGCGTTTGTGTTCTAGTTGCAGCAACGAATCGAATCAGATAGGTCCCAGCCTCGGAGGCCGAGCGCTGAAAATACACCCAATACTACAAATACAAATAACTACATGACTTTACTGCTGCTGCCATGACTTTACTTAACTACATGACCTTACTCTGTCCCCGGCCTGACCTGCCCAGGATCCAGCTCACCGACAGAGGTACCGCCAGCGACAATGTAAACACGCATGGAGACTTGGCGCGATGACAGGGCGGAAAGGCCTCCCGACAGGCCGGAATGCACCGACGCGGAGGACCCGGAAGAGAACAGCCGACGGCCGACCCCCCTCCCCCCCCCCCCTCCTCCGCCCGCGTGGCGTGCATTCCTGGCGCCCGCCTGCGCCGCCGCTGCCGCCGCCGCCGCCGCCGCCGCCGCCGCCGCGCCGGTAATACACGGTCTCCGGCGCCGCCCGCCCGAGCCGTGTCAGGGGCGCACGGCGCCGTGGGGCGTCACGTGCCCGGGCGCCCCGGCGGCGGCGCAGGTGGCGCCTACACCTGTACAACCGCACCGAATGCGGGAAACACGCCGGCGCCGAATGCGGCATCTGGGCGCGGCTGTCGCTGGCGGCGGCCGGCCGGCGGAGGCGCGCGGGTTGGCTGCCGTGGCGCGTCCTCCACTCGCGCCCCGGCACGGAGCTGGTTGGTGGGGGTGAGGGGTGAGCCCGCGTGTGTATGGCTGGGAGATCACGAAGACTGGTCGCATGTCCGCGATCATATGTTCGACGCACATTCATGACAGCTTTCATGACCAGTTTACAGGTGTGTGTGTGTGCGGGAACCACGGCCACGCGCTTCTTTCGGTCCTTCGCGGCAAGATGTGTGCTCGCGTCGGTTTCGGAGAGACGTTCCGTCACCGACTATACGAGCCTTTTAGCAGGAATAGCGCCCGGCTGCCAGCCCTGGGATAAAGGCGTGCGCTGAAAGGTTATGCATGTGATCAATCACTGCGAATCCCTTGTAATCTCGCCTAATAGGGGCGACACGTGTGACTCGGGCGTCTGTGGGATAACAAGGCAGCATCGTGCTATTTCGGGAATTTTTGCGTCAGCAATAGCGAAGAGCATTCTTCTGTCGTTCCTGTTAGGGGCCGCTAATATGATCATCTCAGGACACAACTTCCCAAAAATGTTTGGAGACGGCTCCAACAGTAACTTTGAACTTTTCGATGTCCTTTTCACGCGTGGCTACAGGCCCAACGCCAAAATATTAAATTGTTGGGTTCTCAGGCTCCACAAAGCATGTCTCTGCTCATACCCAGCGAAATCTATACTTTTGTCTTTGTGGATAAAAATATGATGGCGTTGATTTGTGCACAGAAGCTGTGTTCTCTTCCAAGCACATAGGCCTAATGTAGCGCCTGCAGGTCCGCTTTGTTATGCTGCATATGGCGCCAAACGCATCTGTCACTTTTTGCCAGAGCCCCCGCTACAGTCTGAGTATCTGACATAAAAACGGCCAGGTCCGGGCGGGGCCATCTCCTCCGTTACGACATCGTAAAGCCATCGCACCAAATTTGGTTCAGCTCTCGGCTTGCGTCAAATCTCCTTTGGGATATATCCGAGTCGTTCGGCCACTGACAACGTCGCATAAACAGGATAGAAGTCGCACACGAAATTGTTGTCATTGGTTCGCTGCTGAAGAACGTAAAATGCTTCCCGCTGGCTTTGTTTAGCTTTAGTTAGTGGTTTTACGGTTCCGGTGCTAGCTGTGTAATGCACTGTTTTGCACATGTTGGATGGGTGTAATTTTCGCTTAAGTTACCCGCCTTTAGACAGCCGAGAGGTCGTGGTACGTTTTTCCTAAGCTAAATCAAAAACATGTCTCTGGCTGTGTTTTATCCCCGTAAGAAAAGCTATGTGCGTTTACTTCCAACGTTACAAATTGTGGGAAGTGCATTCAGTTGCATGATGCTTGTGGCACGAAGAAAGTTTGCGAGCAATTTAAAGCTGGATTGATGCGATCAAGGGCGTAGTTTCCCAAAATGAGTTCGCGGGGGCTAAACAGTGACAAAATGGCGAAATCTGCCCCAAAATGCACCAGCAAAATGGTTTCGTCGTGAATTTGGCCCGGTCTATTTTCAGGGCCCGAGGCCCATGTTGAAGGGGAGAGGGCGGGGGGAGGATAAAGCCATTTAACTCAATAAGAAGCCACACTCCTGATTTTGTGACCTTTTTATTTGTGTGACTTTTCTAATACTGAGCTCGGCTTCTTGGTGCATTGTGTGTCACTCGTATTTTCCCTGTTTCACACTGGGCGAGTCTTATTTTGCTGGATATTTGGAGAGTATAACTCTTCTTCCGTCGCCGTTGTCCGTTGATTAATTCGATTTGCGTCATCGGAGCTGTCCAGACGCCGGAACTTTTGTCATCACGTGACGGGTAGCACTCTTTCCAGAGGGTGACGGCCAAGTTTGCCACTTAGAGTGCGAAAGATACCTCGTCCATAACACTTCAGGGACGACAGCGCGATGCCAGATCTTGTCAATCACGGCTCGCTCCGCAGGCTCAGACTGCTGCAGTGCGTATCTCCTGATAATGGTCGCCTCTCACACATGCAGGTTGGCTCCGCGCTGACCGACGCGCGGCTCGCTTAAAGAAGCCGCGCAGCCTGACGAAACGACAAAGAAACACCGTGTAAAATGTTAACTGAGCCTCGCCCACAGTTCTTCTGGGGCCTTTGCACGACCAGCCGGAAGTTGCATACCATGACGTCCCATGGCCCGTATCGTCGCGGCATAACAGCGGTATGCGATCGAGTACACGGGTTAGCGGCTTAGGATGTGTTGAATGCTCCCATTTGTGACCGTGGGATATCGTCAAGCTCGTTAGTGCGGATCGATATCACGTCCGTCCTCGGTACAAACAATAAACGAAACGTCAAGATGTGTGCAGAGTGCCACTCAGAAGTGAACGGAGAGCATTATCCTTGATGTCGTGATTGGACCACACACTTGTGCATCCAGATTGGCGTCACATTCTAATTGCAGAACTATCCTCTCGAAATCATCCCTATTAGCTCACATTTTCAAGCTCAAATAGGGATTTTCACGGAGCCCTGCTATCGGACTGCCTGCTCATCACTACCAACACATACTATTTGCACGTCAAAATTGGATTTGGATCTGTCCACCTGTGGCAACTTGCGGCTTTATGGATAATTAGAGCTTTCGATGTGTTATTAAGACTTTTTTTGGCATTCATTATTCTCGTTGTTACGGCATTATTCAGTTCATTACGGACTAGTGAATTCCCACAGACCAACACTTCAGGGCAGGAGCTAAATTTCAATAGTGGCAATAGCGCCAAAGCCCAGCAATAGCGCAATGGGGCGTATTTGTTTGGGATTTGGAAAACATATGCTCTCTGGCTGACCACCACACAACGTGTCCTTATGGCAGCAGTTGAGCTTGAAGTAGGCCCGGCCTAGATGCGACCCAGCTTGAAGTGATGCTTGTGCTGGTGGCAGCTCTCGCCAACATTTTTGAGCCTAAGGTAAACATGTTAAAATGTCAATTCATGCTCCGAGCTAACCAAGTCCGCTGTTCATTATCATGCACAGTGATACTAGTCCCTTGCATTCATTTGTGATGACTGCTCTTCTCTTTTTCATGGTCATACGTTCGTGATTAATATCATGGTGATTATGTTTGCAAAGGACTTGAACGGGCTTTCAGTGTATTTATAAACTTGCACTTTCGATGCATTATGGTCCCATATTTTAGTGCAGTTGGACCAATGTAAATGAGCCCCCACCTTGCACATGCACTGCCTCGTGTCCTGTGACAGCAGTATCTGAGCTGCCTGTGTGGCACCAGCCTACCATAACTCACAATCACTGGCGGTGGTACGCACACTCACATGCCTCGCGCCCGCGGGGGGCGGCTGATAACCAAAGCCGAATGGCCGCCTGGAGACGGCTGCGCGCCGAACCAAAGGGCGCGCTCTCGGCGGGGCCCCCGGTGCGAGTGGTAAGAGGATTGCACCGGCGGCGGAGGACCTTCGGTGCACGCGCCCGCCTGTCCGCAGTATTAATGGCCGCTGGACCGGCCGGCGGTGTCCGCGGATAAGCCTCCGGTTAGGGCCCGCGCGTCTGCGAGGCTGAGTCGGGAGGATCTTGACTCTGAGTCGCGCATCGGCCGCGGGCTGGCAGAGCCGGCAGACCTTGACTGAGCCTTGCGTGGGCGGTGGGCTGGCAGAGTCGGGTTAACCTTGACTCTGAGTCGTGCATCGGTCGCGGGCTGGCCGAGTCGGGTTAACCTTGACTCTGAGTCGCGCATCGGCCGCGGGCTGGCCGAGTCGGGTTAACCTTGACTCGTGAGTCGCGCATCGGCGGCTGGCTGGCCGGATGGGGCTGACCTCGCGGCCGAGCCGGGGGACACCTGCGGCCGAATCATACCGCCCGAGCTGGACATTGTGTCACATGTCCATTCACGATGTCCTACCAGCAGCTCGGCGGGCGGGCGCCTCGGCCCTGCGACGGTGCGTTCCGCGCGGCAGCGGGCCGGCAGACGTGCCGCCTCTCGCGGCCAGTCCAGCCGTGCACGCAGTGCGGGTCCAGGCCGTGTCGACGCGCGCTTCCCTGCATGCCGCCCGCCCCGGTGACTGATACCGTATCCTGGCGCCCTGCCGCAGACGTGCCGCCGGCGCCGCAGCGGCCCCTCGTGGTGGGGTTCACCTCGCGCTCGGCGGAGCTCTCCTGGGCGCCCCGCTACTCGGAGACGGACACGCCGCCGCTCAGCTATGTCCTGCAGAAGAGGTACGTCAGGCCGGAGAAGGTCAGACGGTGATGTGTCCAAATAGACGGATAAGTGTACCAAAGACACTGATGCTGCCCAATTCGGTACGTCACGTCTTGAGACGATCGCATAGTGTTGCAACTTGTTATCAGTTTCATTGCATTTATTTTACCGTGCTGCTTACAATGCATGTGTGATGCATGTTTACCATACACAATAGGCCTCTGCATAGTACAATAATATATGGCTATTCCATCTCGCGTATATGGCCGTGCTGCTTACGAAGCACGTCTGAAGATGACGTAATAATCTGCAAGTTGACGTCGTACATCCATCATACCTGAAATCTTTGATGGTTAGAGCCTAAGCCAGCTCGGCAAACCATTGTCTGTGCTTCAGAACCATACGATTAGATCGCGAGCCCCGGTTTTACGGATGTTACGTGCGTTTTTTCAGGGTATTTGATCCGCTGGGTCCTTGGGACCAGACGCATGAGCTGGAGATTCCAGCCATCACCACCATGTTCAACGTCACCGACCTGCTGCCGTTCACCGCCTACAGCTTCCGAGTGTTCTCCGTCAACAGGGTGGGCAGGAGCGAGCCCAGCGAGCCCTCATACCCCATGGTCACGCACCGAGAACGTGAGTGACCGCTCCACCAGCAGCCGGTGATTGTCGTATTAGCTAGTGTCGCGAATGCTGACGGAAGCTTCTGAGAATGCCGACGTCCAAGACATCCGAACGCTGGACTGAAATGTCACAGAAACGTTTGGAACATAACGCTCGGTTGCTATTTGGCAATGAATAGATAAACCTGTCTTTTTATGAGAAAACTGATTTTTATCAGAATCAAACTATTCAACTCTTCGACAGGTAAGGCCCCAAAAATGCTAACACCGCGATTGCCTCAGCACAAATCGCCTCAGCACCTGCTCGAGATTCGACACTGCTTTCTGCATATCTCTAATAACATGAACTATACCTTACATGCCAGAACCTAACCTCATCAGACCGTCCAATTTACTTTGAAGCAAAGTAAGCCGATGCATGAAAGGCCCCAGATAACCAGTGATCACTGCAGCTCATCGCTTTCCTCCAGGGGTTCGTGTTCTATTTCAAAACCCGCTCCCACCGCCATTCCGACAGATCCCAGTGGCAAGCCCACGGTCATCCAGACCCTGAGCCCGGGGCCCGACGCCATAGAGGTGGTCTGGAGGCCGCCCGATGCCTCCACCATGAACGGCGAGTTCATCGGTCACGTGATCTCGTACCGACCACGTGACCGGCCGACTGCCGAATGGAGCAAGATCGACCTGTCGGGCAACGCTAACGAAACGACGGTCAGTGCGAGCTGCCGCTGGCGGCGGTCCGCACTGTGCTGCGGCGGCCTCTCGCTGCTGCCAGTGCCGACGTGGCTGCTTTCTATTCATCGAACACGTAGTCGAGCTCGACCAGACATCGAGACGCCCCAGAGACCGATGTTCACTGGGATGTGAAGTTACGTGTGATTCGAAATTCGTCGCTGCCGGGTCCATGTTTATCGCCGAAATTCAGGCCGACGCGAGCTCAAATTTGTATGACAAGCATAACTTATCGATCCCGCCTGCTTCAACCGGCGACGTTGGCATCTGTTCTCACAACGTCTCTGGGATCCATGTTTGGAACGCACCCTGCGCAAAACGTCACTTCGCTGGCACGGACTCGGCCGGGCATTTGCCACCAGCATGAGGCCTTTGGCTTCCTGTCACTCGCTAACGTACCTCCCCACCGCCCGCAGAGTTACGTAATCGAAGGCCTGACGCCGTACACAGAGTATCTGATCCGAATCCGGGTGAAGAACATGGTCGGACTCGGACCTTACACGGTCGTCCGAGAGACAACGGAGGAAGGCGGTAAGAAGGCAGGAGCGCACTTAGGCTGAAACCGTATCGCGCTTCAGCAACGTGGCATTTGTTTTGTAAGCTGTGCATGTCAATGTTCAGGATGGTTGTGCTAATTGGAATTGGTCGCTGGCATTTTTGTGACGTTCATTTGTGTGTTTACGGATGTAGTCATTCCATTTATAGTCACGTTGTATTTGCGCCATAACGGCGCTGACGTACCTCCGCCTGGATCCCAGCTAAGTTGTCCTGGCCGTGTCCGATGCAGCCTAGACTAGCGGGCGGCAGAGCCCGCGTGTTCGGCCGCCCGCGCCGCGTGCCCAGTGTGAGACGTCGTTCCCTTGCGGCGTGGCAGTGCCGGGCCGGCCGGGGCAGCTGCGTCACCTCCTCGTCGGCGACACCTGGGCGCTGCTCTCCTGGCGACAGCCGGCCCGTCCCAACGGCGTCATCGTCGGCTACTACCTCTACTTCGAGTTCGACCGCGCCAACCGCAGCATCACCGACAACAGGATCATCCGTCAGGCGCTCCCCGACATGACGTACAATCTGACGGACTAGGTAAGTCGCCTGTGGCGGGGCTAGGTCAGTCGCTTGTGACGGGGCTTAGGTCAGCCGCCTGTGGCGGGCTAGGTCAGTCGCTTGTGACGGGGCTAGGTCAGTGGTTCGCCGTGTCCGCCTGTGTTTCGCCTGTGACGGTTCGCCGTATCCGCCGCTGGTGCTCGGCGACAGTTTCTGAGGCCAGGCCCATGATCAGTGGCTGCTCCAATTTAGCGGCTATGGTGGAGAGTTCGGCGCGCTCGCGGCTGATGGGCTGTATATGAGTCATGAGCCTGAATTTGCAGTTAGCTTGTTCTGTTCAGGCCGCTAGGAGTATTCGTCAGACTGGAACCCTAGCGCTAGCATGTGATGTTGATTATCAAATGCATTTCAAACTCGTAAGTGTATGATAGGAGGGAAGCAGCGCAAATCCGATATTTGTGTTATCTTTTTTAAATCATGATTTCGTGATAAAATCATCAAAATGGTAAACCTGGATATTGTTTGCCTCCATCTCCAATTAAAAGCCATCATTGTGTGAAACCTTAAAACCAGATGGGCCTCTTGTATAATGCATAGGTCTCTAGATCTTACCCCAGTTGCACCAGCTAAGACGGAGCATTTCCTCGTCATCATGCACTTGGAGGGATCTGTTCCACTAGAAAATTCATTTCGGTCGCAATGTATTATTATACGTCAAACGCGGAGTGAATAGACACTCATATTACCCTGCAGCAGCGTGCAAGCTCAAATTAGTAAGGCTCCATTGGATACCACAGCTCCGCACACCCAGCACACGATGTGGCTCGCCGGCTCCACATCTTCCCGCACAGCTCCGCACACCCAGCACACGGTGTGGCTCACCGGCTCCACATCTTCCTCCACAGCTCCGCACACCCAGCACACGGTGTGGCTCGCCGGCTCCACATCTTCCCGCACAGCTCTGCACACTGAGCACGCGGTGTGGCTCGCCGGCTCCACATCTTCCCGCACAGCTCCGCACACCCAGCACACGGTGTCGCTCACCGGCTCCACATCTTCCTCCACAGCTCCGTACACCCAGCACACGGTGTGGCTCGCCGGCTCCACATCTTCCTCCACAGCTCCGTACACCCAGCACACGGTGTCGCTCACCGGCTCCACATCTTCCTCCACAGCTCCGTACACCCAGCACACGGTGTCGCTCACCGGCTCCACATCTTCCTCCACAGCTCCGTACACCCAGCACACGGTGTCGCTCACCGGCTCCACATCTTCCTCCACAGCTCCGTACACCCAGCACACGGTGTCGCTCACCGGCTCCACATCTTCCTCCACAGCTCCGTACACCCAGCACACGGTGTCGCTCACCGGCTCCACATCTTCCTCCACAGCTCCGTACACCCAGCACACGGTGTCGCTCACCGGCTCCACATCTTCCTCCACAGCTCCGTACACCCAGCACACGGTGTCGCTCACCGGCTCCACATCTTCCTCCACAGCTCCGTACACCCAGCACACGGTGTCGCTCACCGGCTCCACATCTTCCTCCACAGCTCCGTACACCCGGTACACGGTGTGGCTGCACGCCAAGACCGGGAAGCATGAGGGCGAGCGCTCGGAGCGGCTGACGTTCCGCACGGACGTGGGCGGCCCGGGCGCGCCGGTCATCACCAACGCCTCGTGCCAGGCGGACACCTCAGTCTTCCTGCAGTGGCGCCGGCCGCAGCAGGTGCACGGCTCCATCGACTTCTACCACGTCATGTACCGCAGCGAGTACGACAACGAGTTCCAGGAGGCCACCATTCCCACCTCGTTTAGCATCGAACAGGAGAAGGTGGGTGGCAGACACGGCGCCGTGACACGCGAGAGAGGCGCGCCACCTATCGGGAGCTGACGGCAGCGAACTCGTTCACCAAACAATGCCTCAGCTACACAAACTTCCTGATTGCTTTCCTGCTTAGCCTGATTCTCTTCATCTCACTAACATTTGCCGTTTAGATATGTATGAAGCGAGGCGTGACAATATCTGCCGCCAAGTTGACTGTGTTCGAGGCGCAAAGCGGTGCCAAGTTGTTTTGCAGCTGCGCACCTTATTTCGCCACGTTTGTGCCGAAGTCCAAAGAAACTTCCGCTGCCCGCAGGTCCTGCTCGCCAATCTGACGGCCAACACCATGTACGAGGTGCGCGTACGTGGTGTTACCAAGTCGCGCTTCAACGCCAGTACGCTGTACGTCGGCCGCAGCTCTGAGCCGCGCAAGGTGCTGCTGCAGCCGGACTGCGAGCGCGTGCAGTATCTGCGCCGCCAGCGCGAGCGGCCCGCCGCCTGGGAGCTCGGCTCCGGCATGGTGGCCGGCGTGGTGTGCGCCGTGCTGGCGCTGCTGCTGGCCGTGCTGGCGCTACTCGTCTGGAGGTCAGTGGCGCTGCAGAGACAGCTGCGCTGGGCGGTCTGTGGGTCAGGAGAGCAGGTGCTGTTGTATCTGGGAACGGGCACCCTGGTGTTTAGGAGCTGATCGATATAATTTGGATGGGCAATTCTGGAGATGAGCACCCAAACCTCTATCTTATGCTGGTATGAGCGGCATAAGGCATTGCGGGATTTTTTGACTAGGCATAGTGAATCAATGTAAGAACCAAGGTGAAAAACAGCAGAGGACGCGGAACACAGCGCTAGGAGTGGCAGTGTAGGATGAGCAAGCCTGAGAATAACTGTTTTATGATGCTATGATGCAACGAGAATAGAGAGCAGCATAGGCAGATTTTTACGTGCTTTTGGAGAATTTTCAGCAATCATATTTTACGTATTAGTGTTCAGGGGCGGTGCTACAGATTTTGAGTTGGAGCAGGATTTTCCAGGGGCCTCCTGGATCAAATCGGGCCTCCTGACAGGGGTGCCTCCTGCGCAGTGTGGTATTCGATGGAGGCTATTCTATAGACTTACTTCCAAGGACATTTGCCCCGCTATTGAACCGTTTCTTGTATCATCTCCGAGTGAATAGGCGTGGGCGGCTACAAAGTCACGAATGGAGGCTTTCTTGGCATCCAGGAAAGGGCCCCGCTAGCCCAAAGCAGGATTTCCTGTTCCAGTGCACGGCCTCCCAATATTTAGAGGGACTCCTAACACGGAGCAGGATGTTTCCGAATCACGAAGGGGTCTCCCAATCCGACCAACGAGCATCGCTATCTCACAGCAAGGCATTCCAGTCTGGAACCAATACCATTTGATGCATGAAACGGGTCTGATGTTCCAGAGTGGGCCTCCTGAATGTACAGGGTGCCTCCTTACCCAGAACAGAGGCCGCGTAGCTTGTAACGGGGTCTCCCGAGGCAGCAAATGAGCCCCTTAACGTGACATTGGGCTCTGATCTATAGCATTGACAGGAAACGGGTATCTTGATGTAGCAAAGGCTCTTCTGAACCTATTTATCATTCTCTAGCTCAGTTATGGGGGTCTCCTTTATCTAAACTTTCGCACTCTACGGGTAGCTTCAATGCTTTTAGGTTGAGAAAATGAGGTCTCCGAAAAATGGGGGAGGGGGTGGAGAAATATACCCTGGGAGGCCAACTTCCCTTTCTGCCCCCCCCCCCCTCGCCCAAGTTGCGCCCCCGCTGTTGGTGATATAAATGTGTAATATTAGTAGTGTTATTTTCATAAAAGAAAAGGCATCTGACAAAAGATAATTTAGCTTTAAGGACGCGTCAACTGCGGCGATTATTCGCGCCCTGACCAGGCATGACATCATCCATGCACGATGTACATGCGGAACTTACTATATGTGCGGAAGCATGATATCCAGTCTTGTAAATCCGCTGTCTTGGGCACCCAGCGGTCTTGTTCTGAATATGTCCGAATAGTTGATTGGTTATATATATATATATATATATATATATATATATATATATATATATAATATATATGTGTGTTGTGTGTTGTGTGTGTGTGTGTGTGTGTGTGTGTGTGTGTGTGTGTGTATGTGTGTGTGTGTGTGTGTGTGTGTGTGTGTGTGTGTGTGTGTGTGTGTGTGTGTGTGTGTGTGTGTGTGTGTGTGTGTGTGTGTGTGTGTGTGTGTGTGTGTGTGTGGTGTGTGTGTGTGTGTGTGTGTGGTGTGTGTGTGTGTGTGGTGTGGTGTGTGTGGTGTGTGTGTGTGCTTGCGTGTGTGCGTGTGTGATGCCTAACCACTGACTAGGAACCAAACATCATCTTGAGATAGTATTTGGTGCTTTACGGCGTAGCCGCAGGCATCTGCCCTTAGCTTCGAACTTCCAAAGGTATGAGGTGGTCTGGTAGTGGGATGAATAGCATACATCCTTCTCCGTCCATTTCGGGCAAAATCTCGGGGAAAGTAAATACTGAGGATGAGCTTGAAAACCTTTGCATTCTTGCAACCTACTTTGGCTCTGAGCTCAATTGGTTCTGCTATACGCCCTGGAAATTCTGATTTCGTGGGGCTGTTATTTTCATTCGGACGATACCCTGCGCCTATCTGACGGTTCGAATCTTTACCCAGCATGAATGCTAAATCTGGCGGCAAACGAATCAGGCCCTGCGCATCCGCCAATACCTGGCCGAGTGGCGGCATTCGACGGATAAATCTGCACATGAATGAGCCGCATTTGAATAATGTAATGGGTCCTGCATTTGCTGTTGGTGCGGAAAGAGCGGTGTCTGTCGGACCAGTGCGCCACTCGCACCGGATGCCGTGACGTCAGCGGAGCCTCGGCCGAGTCTGCTCCGCCAGTGTTGTGGCTTTGGTGGAGCCTCGGCCGAGTCTGCTCCGCCGGTGCTGTGATGTCTGTGGAGCCTCGGCTGAGTCTGCTCCGCCGGTGCTGTGACGTCAGTGGAGCCTCGGTCGTGTCTACTCTGCCGGTGCTGTGAGGTCGGTGGAGCCTCGGTCGTGTCTGCTCCGCCGGTGCTGTGACGTCGACGGAGCTTGGGCCGAGTCCGCTCCGCCGGTGCTGTGATGTCGGCGGAGCCTCGGCCAAGTCTGCTCCGCCGGTGCTGTGATGTCGGCGGAGCCTCGGCCGAGTCTGCTCCGCCGGTG